AAAGGAGCCAGAGCCCTGCCAGGAGCTGCAGCTGCCTGCATCCCCTCCTCCAGGACTCCTGGGTCCCCCTCAGAAGAGCGGGGGAGGGAGGGGGGACAGCGGCAGGCCCGGCGCCAGGGCTCCTGCCTGTTATTCTTGGCCCGTCTTGCCCCGTCATGGAAACTCCTGACTCCAATCTCCTCCTCCTCCTCCTCCTCCTCTCCCCAGCCGTCCAGTTTCCATTGCACACAAACTGGCATGCCAGGCATAGCCCCCCCACCCCACCCTCACCCCTCTGTCCTCTCTGTAAGGTGACACCCTGGAACTCCCGCCAGGCGAGGCCGTTTTTTCCAAGGGTGAAGCCACAAACAATCCCCTCCCCTCGGCCAACAGACCCTTCCCTCCCTCGACCAGAGGACGGAGCTCCACGGCTCCAAGGACGCCGTGCCTCCTGGGGGGGGGCAGGACGCCTGGGTTCCTTCCACCAACAGGAAGCTGGAGACCATGGGCTGGGCGCGGAGGGGCACCCGAGTTCCTTTCCCGGAGATGGGAGAAAAGAGGTCAGGCATCGGGTCACAAATGGGGGGGGGGAGACGCTTGGGAAACGCTTGGCTCCCACTCCCTCTCCTGCTCTGGGAAGTGGAGGGCCCCCCTAGACAGCTGAAAGTTCACCCCCCCAGCCTCTCCCCAGACCCGGCAGGACCTGCCCCACCTCAGGGGGCTCCCGGGGAGGACTGGACTCTGGTGCTTTTCCTGTCCAAAAGGAAACAATCCCCCAATCCCACTTCCCCCTCCAACCCCCCCCCTGAAAAATCCAGCCGGCTCACCGTCCAAAGAGAGCCAATCCAGCTGGGTGCTGGGCAGGGCCATGAAGTTCCGGGCCCGATACTCGAAGAGGACGGACAGGGAGACCACGCGGGCGTCGCAGGCCACCTGCAGCAGGACCACGCCGGCCTCGTGGGCTGCTCCTTTTGCAACAGTTCACAAGTACTGAAATCCTGAAGAAAGACGTAGCTTTCAGATTGCCAGCTTCACCTACTTCTACCAAATGTCATGTAATTACTTTTACATCATCATATTATATCTTCTCATTACTTTTATTTATTTATCTTCTTTTCCCTTGACCTCAGCTATATCATTGAAATGTCCATTAAATCTTATGACATTGAACAACTAGTAATTCCTATTACTATGCTTATGGGACAAGTTTCACTTCTTGCAGCTTGGAAAGTAGAACAGGGACCTTGGAGAGGTGAGAGCCACCACTCTTCTTGATTTATAAAAACTTCAGGGGGGAGGACTGGCCAAGCGGGAGGGGAGTTTGGTGAGGGTACCAATGAGCTCAAAGAAGGCTACAAGCTTTAACATCACTGGTGCATTTGATGAGGACACAAGAGAGGGCCTTCCCCAAGTTATGCAAATCCCTCCCTCAGGAAGTCAGACTTCTTCTTTGCTACTCTCTTTTCTCTTCAGGAGCCCCCGCAGACTGTCCGAGGAAGCTCCCGGTCCTGGCTCCTCTCTCTCCCCCATCACCCAATTCCAACCCTAAAGTCTTCTGGCCCCCTCCAAAAACAGGCTGGCCCCCTCCCCGGATCTGGAGCCCCCCCACCTACCTCTGGGTAGGACCACTCGGGAGAGAAGTCCGTGATGGAGACGAGGGGCTGGGGGGAGCCCCTGGGGGCCGCCTCGGATGCGTAGCAGGGCTCGGCCAGAGGGTCCGTGAGGCCCGGCCCCGAACCCTCTGGCCCGGCGCTGGCACCC